ATTTACTGATGTATGTAAATATACATTTTAATTAATATATGGTCCCAATATTACTATAATAGTTGTAATTTCACATTTCAAGAAGTTTTTTTACAGTGTATACCCCTGTTTATTACTTGGAGCCTATATTATTTGCTCATTTCGAAGAGTATTGCATTGATATCTAGCCTTATGCGAGAAATGGTGGGGAATTTTACTATATACTAGAGGAGTCTTGTGAATGGCCATGTACAATCTATCAGGAGTCCGGCTAATCTTGTCATCTCCTCTGAGAGTTTTTTGCGATTGTTTGCCCAACATTCATAGTCTAGCCTCTATCTGGCAAGAGAATAAGATCATCATATCTTTGTAATCACCGTAGCGCAGACTTCTCTGTAGCGATCAACACTGCATTCATTGAGCAAAATTGCAACATTGCACTAGAATCGTATACTATATTATTATGTTAAAAGTGTAAGGTGTGAGATCTGAATAGCTCAATAGTAAGAGCAGTTGCCCAGAAAGCGAAAGACTCGGGTTCAATTCCTGATTCAGCCATTCGCACTCACATATTTTTTTAGTTTACAAATATATTTTCTAGAGATTATTTGTTAGACTGAAAAAATATGCAAATGCTTTACGCAAATCAGTATCTCTGCCACAGCTACAAACATATCTAGACTTGTGCTACCCTCCACTACATACATCCCTGTTTATTACTTGGACATATAAGTAATCTGCTAGTTTAGGAATAAATAATAAAATATGTATCTACAATCCAAATTTAAAATACTCCATGTCAAAAAAATATATTTTTATAAATATGTTTGGCTAATTATTTCATAGAAAATTAGATGAAAATTTCTAGATGAGAATTTCTACCTTTGTTAAAATCATAATTTTTGATATCTTAATCTTTCTTTTCTTAAGACCTTACTCATTTATTTAATAGGATACCTTTTTAGAAGGATTAATTTATTTAGTAGGATACTAAAAAGCTTTAAAAATTACTTTTTTTAAAAGAATTTTTTTTTTTTCTATCTTGTTACATAACATTATCTTTCAAATTAGTATTGTGATTCAGTACAAATATTGCCGTTTCAGATCTCTCAACATTCTTTTTCCAGGTTTTTGAGGTCTCCAATAATTTTTTCTATTATCATTAACATTTCTTCTTTGAATTTTAAATGGTTTTGCTTCCTCTAGAGAAAGCTTTGTTTTCGTGAAAACATTTTTTTTTGTTGAGATTTTGCTGCCAATGTGTTCAGAATGTACTAAAATGTCGAAAAATCACATTTTTTTAAAATGTCCGTATGTGTGTATGTACGTATGTATGTGCACCAAAACGCCGTGGTTGCTCTAACTTTCGCAAATTTTGAGATATCGAGCTAAATCTTTTTACATGAAGACCGTCATTAAAAGATGGTTGGTATTGAATTTGGCTGGAACTCGGTGAAGGGGTTTTTATAAAATTTCGAATTTTTTGAGACATGTTTGTACACGCTGTAACTTTCATTTTAAGATATCTTCCTCTATAAGGAAGCCAAAATTGAAAAACTCGTTTGCTTTAAGAAGCTTAAACTTTGTGAGCGAAATAAAATGATGAGGAAGCAATGTGCAAGTTTTTAATTTGCACAATTTTCATCTTGTTTTTCATTCCTTTTGGGGGTTAAAAATTGCTTTTTTTTAACATAGTTCTTTATGATGTTACTTCTTTTGTTAATTTTGACAACAATAATCTTATTTTTTATTTTTCTTACATTATTTTATTATAAATATCCAGAAAGAGAGAGAGGCTATGCAACAATTTATATTTTCTAAAAGATCTTCTTGAAATACGAATACATATAAAACATTATACATGATATAAAAGAAAAAAAAATATATATATATAATATTATACAGGGTGCTCCCGGGTTAAATGGCCAAACTTGAAATATGAATGTAGGATTCCAAAACAAAAAAAAAATTTCCTCTGGAAGTATGCTCGCAAACGTTTCGTTCAAGAGATATTGACTTCTTAAGTTACAGAACTATAGGAATGAATAATGCCAAAATGTCTTTTTTTAAAGACATTAACAGGCTTGTGTTTGCACTGTAAACAAAATTAAAACAAAATTAACAATCATTAAAACGGAGGATAGTGAGCGAAGAAGTTACAGACGTACAATATTAGTCAGCCACTCGTTCTCTCATCGATGGCTGCAATGCTTGTCTCCGAGCTGGAGGCCATCATTTTGAACAAAACATTTAATAATTAAATTTTGATTACTGTAAAACAATAAAGAGGATAAACCTAGATTATTTCGACATTATCCATTCTTATAGTTCTGTAACTTAAGAAGTTAATATCTCTTGAACGAAGTGTTTGCGAGCGTACCTCCAGAAAAAAATTATTTTTGTTTTGAAGTCCTAAATTCATATTTCAAATTTGGCCATTTAATCCGGGAGCACCCTGTATATATAATAATAAATTAATAAAACATTATTTGATGAATAGCCTTTAATGCGTGTTGGATTACACGAATTGTGTTTATCGAACTTTATTTAGTAATGATATCGAGATAACTATTAGTTTTGACAGACATAAAGTACATAGCTTCCAAAATCGCGATAGCTAGAGATTTGAGAGTGAGGATACCTTTTAATATTAAAAATGTCAGAACACTTTTTAGTGTTTCTTTTTTTGTGTTTTGTTCATCAAGAAATCTTATAAGCTACTGACCGTGTTAAAACACGATTGCGGCAAAGCATGCATCAAAGTGGCAGGCATTTCGAACACTTGTAAATTATTGCAGGCATCCACACATTTAAACGTTGTTCTCGAAACCAGTAAGAGATAATTGAATTAAGTTTTAGTAAAAGTTGTTCCTTTTTCAAAGCTCTATTAATATCCCACTCGATCCATGTTTCTATTTGAAATTTCAAAACTGATTCCAGTTGTACCTATTTCCGGTTTATCCTAAAAAATGGAACCATCATCAAAATGATTACTTTGGATGCTCATTAGTAATGAAATTTTTTTCCCAACTTCTTGTGACGTCACATTTTTGAGAAAAAAATGCTGGCATGGATGGTCTGAAACATCCGGTATATATTGTGTGTGTGTGTGTGTGCGTGTATGCGCGTGCGCGCGCGGGTGTGTGTGTACATACAGGGTGTCCCACCAAAAGTGGTCACCCTCTTTTATCTTTTAAACTAAAAGAGATAGACTATAACAAATATATATCAAATTAAATGGTTCAAACTGAACTCTATTGTGAGCATAGTAATTGCTTACAAAAGCTATTTGTGTTAATGAATGAAGAGTATGCTTAATTTTTTTATAACGAAATGTGGATATTTCGACACTATAAAAATTGTAACGCTGTTTGAAGGGAATATAACGATGTATGATTTAGTGTAAATGTTTTACATATTATACGAATTTTATCAGCGTAAAATATCGAGCGACGTCTACCTTTTCATTTTTGGTCCTGCGATATGGCCAACTTCTGACTCGAGTATTATGATAAAATGACAACATGAGATTCGTCAATCCACATACTTCTATATATATTTGTGCGTCATATTTGACTTCATATTTGACTTCTGTTTGTTAAATATAATCTACGCGCGTAATATGTTGAAAAGTGCACAATGTGATGTGTTCTATGACATGGCATGCTGCTCCTCGTGTAATTATTTGAAATATAAAAATTTCTAGTTTTATTCCATAGGATATTTATACGATACTGTGAAGCTAATTTTATTAGAAAAATTGAAAAAATCAAAGTAAAGTGATTTTAAAATATATCTCAATTTTGCTGACATTTTTTGATTTTTTGAAGATTAGAAAATGATAATTATTAAATTTTTACTAAATTTAGTATCCCAAAAAGTGTTTTCTTTTATTTATTTAAATAACAAAGACCATAAAATAGACTTTCGATTTCCTCAAAAAACTTATATTGAACCGCTTGGTATTCGGACCTCTTTATATTTCGGATACACGTCTATCCGTAATACAGATCTGCCAGTTGATGTGTAATTAAGCGAATATTTTTATTTCAAATAATTATATTTACTACATTAAAAATTGTTAATATTGGACAAAATCTTTGATTAAAATTACATAGAGCAATTAGGCATAAAGTTGCGTTCAAACCCGTTACCGTTTTACGTATTTCCTCCAATACATCTCTAGATAAATGTGATTATACTATGTGCATGTAAATGTGTATACGAATCCTACTATTCTTTTAACTGTCGAAGAAAATCGACATTCTATCTTAAGCAAGCCTATTTTTAAGATCGCCATCTTATTAAAAATCTTATAACTTCGTTAATTTTGCGACTTTTTAATTAAAATTTGGGAAATATTCTCCAAACATTATACTTTCAGAAAACGTAAGAAAAAATCGATTTTTTGCACTCTCTAAGTAAACCAACCTCTTAATTTAAATCAGATTTCTAAATTCCCTTTTTAAAATCTTATAATTTTTGTTTGATTTTTCCGCATATCGTTTTACAAATATTTTGCTAGGGCATTTATAAAATGAAACAGAAGATAGAAAAAAACTTGTGTATATATATATATATGCATGTGTGTGTATGTTGTATATACACACACACATAAATGATATTTATAATTTATACATAGACTATTTAAAATTTTCAAATTTTGTAAATTATATATTTAAAGTGTTAAATATAATTATTTTATAATGTTATTGAACGTTTTGTCTTTTACTTTTTTTAATTAAATTACTTTTTGTATTGGATTACATTTACATATATTTTGATACATCTATAACTATTTAACGAATTACATTAAACTGAATTCATACTTTTGATACTTTTGAATTAAACTGAATATTTAATATCCACAGATGATCTGTGCTAAATACTTTGTGTTCTCTTGAGTTATTCTTATTCATTTTCGCCAGAATTATCGTTATGTATTTGCGTAAAAAACAATAATAGTTGAGCAAGACAATAAGAAAGATCGCGTGAGATTGGGACTGGGCTGTAATGGATAGGTCAAACATCAATGGATGGGAAGAGTTCAAGCCCCGATGGGGGTCCATACACCCAGGGGTCAATCCCCGTTACACCATCATACAAGACTACAAAGGAACATCACAGACAGTGGAGACAATTGGAGAAGTCCGAACCAGAGCCGGCCATCTATTTAGGTCAGCATCACCAACGTCATTATTATCATGATCATTATCAGCAACAACAGCATTAATATGATCATTATCATTATCATAACTCCCATAAACACCACCAGGATTATATTATATTTATTATATTATTATACTAGTATTATATTATATTTTCGTATTCGAAAAAAAGCTGTCGTATAATGTTCGTTCAGGACATCTATAATATCAAAATTCAATCTGACAACTATTTTTTGTCTACATATTTTCATGTGTGTTTCTATATTTGTTGGTGCATTGCTCCTAAATCCTCGACGCTATGCTCCAGTCCCACTCCCGCGAGTCCGAATCTCTCTTCCTTCTCATCGTATAGCAACGAACAGTTTGAGCAACAAATTATTATGTTCATGGACTACCGTTGAAAAAATCAAGATCGATTTACCTGTAAATCATTTAAAAATGATTATGACTGCAATGAGATGATGATGATGATGGGGGGGGGAGGGCAAAGAGAGATGAGAAGAGAAAGAAGAGAAGATGATGAGATGATGCGAATTAAAATCAAGATCAAAATCATAGTGATAATTGACCAAATTCAGGTATCTATCCTGTCATTGTCGGCCAATTAGAGTATATCGCTCCTCTTCTTCCTCGACATAGCTTTGAAGCTTTATCTGCTTCATTATTTTATGCATCATGTATTGTTTAATGAATGGATCGTGTTTTTTTTGTGGTAGGCAAACAATTGAAAGATTGGAAAAAGACAGATTGTCTGAAATACCTGTTACGATTTATAGAATGAGAAAAGTTCGTCTGAAAAAGTAGCGAAATATAGACAGATAGAAAAAATAAAAAAACAATATACTTATAGTTTTAAACTGTGTCATACGAGGTATGGCTATTAAATAATCGAGAATTAGCGCTATAAATAGAACTTCATATAAAATATTGCACATTTTAACTTTTATCCTCTTCAATATACTCTCCTTCCCTGTCAATACGTCGTTGCATTCGGTTTTTCTCTTCTGTTAAAAATAATTTGGAAGTCTATTTTTGTTAAATCTTTTAACAAATAAATAGTTTTTGCTTTGATCGCCTTTTTAATGGATTCAAAGTCTTTTAACACACTTTAAATAAAAAAAATATTTCAAAGTTGCATATCTTAAGAACGAAAAGAAAGAACGCCACATTATTCAAAGCGTGTATTATTTAAGAATGCACCCTCTGCAATATGTGTGAAAAGGAAAATGATCTGTGATGTGTAAGTTGATATAGACATTTAGAATTATATTATAAAGTTATTTATAACATATATTTTGTTATACTTATATTATAAAGTTATAACATAAGTATGTAGGTAAGTTATAATACATATATATATAAGTATGCTACAAATTTGCATTTATTACCTTTACTAATTTTGAAATTGGAGTTTATTCATAATTACTGGTAAATGTGATAAATTGGAGAGAATGACTCATAAAAATTTATTAAATTTACTATAATCATTGGTAATTATGTATAATTGCCGGTAATTATATATAATTGTCAAATTATCAAATTTACAGTAACATATATAACATATACAGGGTGTCCGATATTGACTGTATCACTTCTCATGTGCAGATAAAGCTGGTGAAACCGAAGAAAAAAGTTCTTTACCATTTTGCGATTTTCGTAATAATTATTGAGAAATTAATTAAAAAAGATCGACCAATTCGTGCGAGTATAAGCGCGCAGCGAGAAGAGAACCCGAAAGTATGCGGTCGCTAGGCGCGCGATAAAAGTTTTGGGAGGAGCGCTCTACAAATGACAACGATTACGTACGAGCGATACATAATAAATGGATTCTAGCGTCTTAGCAAGCACATATCATGGGTTGTCCCTTTTTACTGCGCGCTCATATTCGCGCGTATTGGCTGATCTTTTTTAATTAATTTCTTAATAATTATTACGAGAATTACAAAATGGTAAACGACTTTTCTCCTCAATTTCACCTGCTCTAGCTGCACATGAGAAGTGATACGGTTAATATTAGACACCCTGTATATATGAATAAACCTGAAGAAAAAGGTGTTAACTGAGACCTAATGTACTATATATACAGGGTGTCCTAGACCACACGTACACCCATTTTCTTTCAAAAACTAAGCATTTTAGAGAAAAACGTTTTGAACAAAAATTGTATGGTTTTGAGGGAAACATAAGATGGTGTCATTGGTTTGACCTTGGATGGCATCGTTAAGGTCAAGTCAAGGACACCTTTAATTTCTGCAATAAAAAATAGGGGATTCCATTTAAGAAATTAAAGGTGTCCTTGATTTGACCTTAACAATGCCATTCAAGGTCAAACCAATGACACCATATTATGTTCCCCTCAAAACCATACAGTTTTTGTTCAAAACGTTTTTCTCTAAAATGCTTAGTTTTTGAAAGAAAAGGGGTGTACGGGTGGTCTAGGACACCCTGTATAATGGACGTTATTATTAAAATATACATTTCTAAGACTTCTTTTTTCTTATTACAGCTATATTGAATTAAGGCTGAATTAGAAGTAAGAAATTATACATTTTTCTTGCAAGATATGTCGAAATAAATTATTTTTTTGTTTACTTCATTCGCTTTTTATAATATAGATTGATAGAATATACCGAAGTTTCGTTTTCTAATAATTAGCATTAATAACTTATTTATATGTATTTTATATTTTCAGTAAATACGGATCTCTTATAGCAATTGATTAAAATTTACAGATATTTATTAATATACTAATTGACAAGTATCTTTGATATATTTTATCAATCTGTACTATCGAACACGAACGAGATGGCATATGAAAAAATAATTTATTTTGATGTATGCTGCGAAAAAAAAATTTATGATTTCTCGCTTCTAACATATCATAATTCAATGCATCAGTGAAGTATCAAAAACCTTAAAAAATTTTGTGATTTATGTGTTATATATTTAATAAGATCTTTTCTTTCAAATGCATATAAGAATTTTCTTTAAATGCAGATATATGTATACACGCATTTTGTGTTAGAACTTGTTTTAATTTATTAAGCATGTATGTAATGTAAAATATAAAGTGCTTAGTAGTAAAATATAAGTGCTTCTTACAAATATGTAAAAAGATAGTGCAGATAATTGTGGAAATGAACAAAAACACATAATTAATAATGTTTTTATGATGTTAATATACATACACACATGCACAGATTCATATATATGTATATTCGTTATATCCATATGCATGTATAGGAAGACTTAGCTATCTGATTAAATTAACGCATAAATTTTAATATTATATTAAAATTATGAGATACATAATGAGATATAGTAACAATAGAAAAACAATATAGTCTTCAAGATATTATTAAGATTTGTTTATGTACTTGCACACTCACACAAATATATGCAATTTTAAAAGTTTTTACAGAGAAATTACTACATTTATTAATGAAAAATTTTATTAGTTAAAAAAATTTCTTATATTTATGTATATCAAATATTATGCACAGAATTTTATACAAGTAATGAATGTTATATATTTTTGTAATAAAATATATTTTATAAATAAATGTTTATAGATCTGTTTACTCTTGACTGCATGATATACTTTATGTATGTCTTGCTTTTTGCTTATGGTATTAACGATAAATAAACTACTAGACTGTACTATTCCAATCTACTAGAATCAAAAAATTGTATGGAAATTATTTTTCCTTTATTTTACCATTTTGTATATCATATATTTAATAACGTTACTTGAAATTAAGTTCTTTATTATAATAAAAATACAAAAATGTTAAACATTTATATATGTTGGTAATATTTATATGCAGAGTTTAAGAAATATATTAATATTGTGAATTTATTCAATTTAATATTTACAATACTTATAAAGCCTATATGTTGTTGATATATGCTAAAAAATATATGTATATGAAAAGTTTAAAAGGAAGAATACACATATTTAATTAATTCTATAACTCTGCTTACAAAGTGACATATATCATAATTTCTTACTTAAAACAAAAATGGATTAATATTTAAAATTTACTAGGTGATTTGCCATCATATATTACTCGATTCCAGTGGGATATGGCTAAATATCCCATCAAACAATCTTTGAGAAACATCGCGGATATTATCAGTAAACAAGTGGGACAAATTGATGCTGATTTGAAAACTAAGTCTACAATGTATAATAATTTGAAAGGCAGCTTACAAAATCTTGAAAAAAAACAGACGTAAGTTTTATTTTGAAAAATATACTAATTGACAAATTATTAAGTGAACATATATTTAATTTGACACATTCTCAATAGGGGAAGTTTACTAACACGTAATTTAGCAGATTTAGTAAAAAAGGAACATTTTATCTTGGATAGTGAATATCTAACTACTTTGCTTGTAATTGTACCAAGGTGAGTAAATACATATACAGCCAAATTTCGGCACTATATTATAGATTTTAAGGCTATTATGTAAGGATTAAATGTTCATAATGTGAAAAATTGGTATTTATGTCTTATATTTTTAGATCCAATTTTCAGGATTGGTATAGTTGTTACGAAAAACTGACAGACATGATTGTACCACGTAGTACTCAACTTATTACTCAAGACTCAGAATATGGATTATTTACAATTACTTTATTTAAAAAAGTAATTGACGAATTTAAATTACATGCCCGTGAGAAAAAATTTATTGTACGAGATTTTACATATAATGAAGAAGAACTAGCAGCAGGTTTGTTGAAACTTTGAAATCTTACACGGTTTAGAAAACTAAAGTGAATATATCTATGTTATGTAAAGAATGAGATTTCTTTTATTTACATTATAGGAAAATATGAAATTACAAAGTTGGTTACTGATAAAAAGAAACAATTTGGACCCCTCGTTCGCTGGTTGAAAGTGAATTTTAGTGAATGTTTTTGTGCTTGGATCCATGTCAAAGCTTTACGTGTATTTGTTGAATCTGTTCTTAGGTACCATTAAATGTCTCGTATGAAATACAGTGATAATATTTAGTCAATTATAACATGTAATATAAATGATTTGTAGATATGGCTTACCTGTCAATTTCCAAGCGATATTATTGCATCCGCATAAGAAATGTGCGAGAAGATTACGTGACGTTTTAAATCAGCTTTATGCTCATTTAGATTCATCTGCTACAACAGCGCAACATAATCAAGATGTAAGTTATACAAATTATGTTATTACATTATATTGTTAGAATTAAATAAATTTAATTATAATTTTAAAACATTATTAAATTTCTTGTTATTATTTTTGTAAATACATATATGTCTATTTTAGATTAATTTTTTTGTGAAATAGATGTATATTTACAAAAACATTTTAATTTTAACAGAATGTGGATATACCAGGACTAGGTTTTGGCCAAAGCGATTATTTCCCATATGTTTATTATAAGATCAACGTAGATATGGTTGATAACAAGGTCTAATTATTAGAATTTACTTTTCTTTTCCCGAATATCACACTTCGATTTATTTGTGAACAATGGCACATCAAGAATCTAAGGCAGTGCGTACAAATTTCTCGTCCATATTAATACATAAAAGGATAATGCATTTCTAGAAACTTTTTTTTTAATCGTCATAAAGCCTTTTTCTGATAGAAATCGTTATTTTTAAAAATTATTAAAATATTGGCAGTATTATATTACAACCTATAATATTATTCAGAATTGTGCACAATAGTTTTTGCATTCCTTTATATATATTTTCTTCAAGTATTAAATACATATAAAAAAAGTAATTACATATAAAATTATGTATTATATATTACATAATAATGATAAAATTCTCAGGTAATTTTTATCACAATTACATATTTCTGAATTATATTTATGAATTAAATGTAACTATAATAATATAAATTATATTTGATAATTTATTGGATTTTATTCATTAACTTACTTTTTAATACTTGGAGCGCAATTTTGCACATTAGAAATTTATACCACTTCTAAAGAGTATTGCTACAATGTGTAATCCTATGTATTGATCTGTCATATACAGAGTTAAAATGTTGATTTTTTCAGTAAGAAATCAGGAGTTACACAGAGATATACGCCTTGTTATTATAAAAAATTCTATAAGAAACATTCATAAGTGTATCATATGAATATATTTAACGAAACAAATGTTATATTCGCAATTTAGAAAATAAATATCTTACTGTTGAATATATTAAAGCAAGTTTAGGCCCTGTGCACAATAGAGAAAATATTAGGAATAGGAATAAAATATTAAATATCAGGAGGAGCAATTTGGAATTATTTTACTTCAGACAAGGAAACGGGATGAATTAATTATTTCTAATTTTTATTTTTTTATTTCATTATGTGTTAATCCATTCCGTTCCCTTGTTTGGAGTAAAATAATTCAAAATTGCTCCCACTGATATTTAATATTTTATTCCTATTCCTAATATTTTCTCTATTGTGCGCAGAGCCTTATGTGTCATGTATTCTTAAAGTATTTTATTGTTTTAAATATATTTAGTAATTATGGAGAAATCATTTTCATATATGCGTATAATATATGAAGATTAGTTATATATGGTATAAAAAAGTGATTATCATACACATTATTGTTAAAGTCTATAAATTTCAATATATAGGGTGTATCGTAATATGTAGGATCCACTTCAGCAATGGATAGGAGACACAAAAACAATAAAAAAAGTTCATATAAACATGTGTCCCGTTTGACTTTGTTTCCGAGTTATAGTCATGTTTGTACTTAGTAATGTGAAACTACAGGAACTTAACGTTACAGGAAGCGCCCAAAATGATCACCTTCGGCTTGAATGCAAGGAAATGATTTAAAGAAACGATCCGTGTAGACCTTCTGCTGCATTACATTCGGCGAATCCATACATTAAATGCATGTCTGCCATTTCCTGGTTTGAATAATTTATTATCATAATAACCCCTAGAACAAGTTTAATGCACAGCACAATATCAACTGCTGTTATCAAGAGAATAAACTGGAATAATCCATAGAACATAATCAACAGGTCGAGAGATATAGAGTATTGCATACAAATAGTTCAGTGGAATCACTTGGCTATGAAATTCGGAAACAAGGTCAAATAGTTACTCTACTAGTAATAGTGGTCAACACATGTTTATATGAACTTTTTTCATTGTTTTTGTGTCTCCTGTCCACCGCTGAAGTGGGTCCCACATGTTATGGTATACCTCGTATTATATATTATTTGAATAAAATATGTATTACAATGGCCGATTATAGCGGTCAAATATCTTAATAGATTGAAGGTATCTATGGTAATAGAAAATTTATAAAATAAAAATATAACTTAGTATATTAGGCTTTAAATATATAATAATATTCGCAAATAAATAAAATGAAATAGGCAAATGAGAGCCAATGCGCTGGGTAAGGGGCGCCAAAAATGTTATTCTTCGTATGTGTAAATTGTGTTTATTAATTAGATGTTTCAGTCCGAATATTGGACCATCTTTAGTAATTTGAAATAATGTCAGGAGCGTGTCGAGCGAGCCGTACTTGTCAATGGTGACAATACTAATAATATTAGTATTTTTGGCGCCCTTTACCCAGTGCATTGGCTCTCATTTGCCCGTCTCATCTTATTTATCTACGAATATTTTTATAAAATAATGTATAATTATTAACAACGTTTTTAAACTTTTCCTTGATATTATAAAATTTAATTCCTAAAAACAATATTGATTTTATATAATATAAAATGCAGAAATTATATTTGTTGATTGTAATTACTTATAAGTTAATATTCTTTTTGGTAAAAGTGCATAATAACGGACCCAGCTCCAATGATCTTGACCTTGGCATATGTTGTTAAGGTCATGACCCTGAGTAACCTCCAAAAGGTTTTAGCCGTCGCTCGTTTTTTATTAAAAAGTTATTAACAAAAAAGTTTGAGAAATATAGTAGTTATTTTGAGTATTGAAAGACATAAATGACTAATATATATGTGGAAAAAGTATATGTATGAACGATTTCCCGCTTTTTCCCCAAAAGGAGGGGCGGAACCCAGTGCGTCCATGCATACACTTTTCCACCCACACAAGAATTGTAGGGTAGACCTCGCTTCGCGTTGTAAAATATATGCGTGGACGCAGTGGGATCCGCCCCCACCCCCCCTACGGGGGTCTTCACTTCCGAAAGATATAGCTTAACCCAAACCAAATTTTAGTTTTAAATCAGGAATAGGTTTGGGTTAGGTTATATCTTTCGGAAGTGGAACCCCCCGGAGGGGGGGCCGAACACACTGTGTCCACGCATATACTTTACAACGCGAAGCGAGGTCCACCTCACGATTGTTGTGTGGATGGGAAAGTGTATGCGTGAACGCAGTTGGTCCTCCTCCCCTACGGGGGGCTCCACTTCCGAAGGATATAACCTAACCCAAACCTATTTCTGATTTAAAATTAGACCTTGCTTCGTGCAGAAAGTTGCAAATTCATGTGAAATCATATAATTATAAATCTTGTTTAAGTAGTCAGAACTTTTTACTAACCTAGTGACGGGAAAGGTCAATGACCTTGACCTTCTTAGAGGTCAAGGTCAACATCAAGGTCAACCGGAAGTCATATGAGATAGGGTGTGTAAAGGTAAACATTTACGTATTATTTAGTAAACTTTTTTTGTTAATAACTTTTTAATAAACAACGAGCGACGCTTAAAACATTTTGGAGGATGCTCAGGACAGTGACCTTGACAACATATGTCAAGGTCAAGGTCATTGGGGCTGGGTCCGTTATTATGCACTTTTACCTTCTTTTTTGTCAATTATTCTATTCTATTTATAAATTTATAATTTATATATTTCTGAATCGGCACCATTACAACTTGCATAAAATAAATCTTTTTAAAATACATTATATATATATCAACTTATAAAAATGTATTTACTGAAAATATTTTATATTGTTAAATAAACTCAATTTCCCATATTAATTACAGTGTAAATTATACACATAAGAAAAGTTCATGTATAATATGATTTCATGTGTTATAAAGATAAATATTATACCATTGAACTGCATGATTATTGTAATTTGTAAACCAATGTACAATGTTTTAAATCGTATAAGAGTAGAAGTCGATGACAATACTAATTAATTTGTCTTTTAAGCCTACACAAAGAAGCGAGTTCTGACGCGTGTATAATAAATAAAGAAAAAAAAATTATACACAACACACACACACACAGAGTTCAATTATGTAAATACGTTTAAAAAATAATCATATAGACAATTAATTGTTGTGAGTTGTGTACAGATAAATGTAATTGTACAACTAATAAATACTTCAAATTTAATTAACGATATCTTTTTGTTTATATATTTATTTTTTGTAGATGCACCTTTGATATATGTATATCACGGCTACACTAAAGATATTAATTTGATCGTTGATATATGAAAAACAGGGATACAAAAAGAAATCGAAATCTTAATTTAAATTAGTTTATTAGAAACTTCAATTCTGCGAACTCGCATACCGACTGGATGCATTCGATATCTCGAATCGCGACAGCTAAACCATGCGATGGCTATATTTTACTGCGCGAGGACTGGCGAGCGTTTCGTTCGAGTCGAAGCTTAGTATACGTACACCCAGCAAAGTCTAGTCACACAATAATTTAAGATGAGCAAGAATTATTCAATTCATCGATAGTAAGCACAGGCTATTCGTGTGTTACAAAATAAACGATTAAATTGTACAAACTTATTAATATAGGTACACAGCAGCTTGATTATGATTTGAAATCTGACGATCCGTGCCAAGAATTTGACAACAAATATTACAATAATAGTATATCATTCCATTAATATATATTAATAGAATGCGATTCATTCGAAATTAATTCAATAACATATTATATTCATTGGTACATCTGAATATTTTCTTTTATATAAATATATAGAGTGAATCACTAAAGGTGTTACAGGCTAATATTTCTAAAACTGAACGAAATATGAAATTCTTATTTTCTAGCGACTATAACTGCAATACAAAGTTCTATTTTTGCGTCGAATGCCCGCTTCGATATCAAATAGTCGCTGGAAAATAAAAATTTCATATGTCGTTCAAATTTAAAAATATTAGCCTGTAATACCTTTAATGATTCACCCTGTATGTACGTGCCCAGACAGCACATAAAAGCATATAACACAATCCTAAAAGAGGTCTAAAAGACGTAAGATGTCTTATCGTCCTTCAAACATCTTTAAGATGTCTTTTGGCCTTCTTGTGTTACTTATATAATTTGAAGATAATTTAGTATAGTAGGCTCTAAATATACAGGGTGTCCCAGAATTCGCGCACACGGAATGCACAGCGTGATTATCCGTGCCAAAAGAAACAACTTTTTTCTCTGGCAAAATTACGTCTGAACAATACTTTTTAAATGAGAGTAATTTTAAGTTAACGAATGAGTGCTCTAGGTTACGCATGAATCAGGGACGCGCGCGAACGGCGTGCGTGGCGCGTGAGCGTGTTGTACGCTATTTTATTATTTCGCTAAAGATTTTATAAGAATTATACATGATATCTAAATATCGCTATTTTGAATACAACTTATTTAATAAGAGAACATTTTCTAATTGATATCACCGAAGCAACGATTGAAAGTAAAATAAGTAGATTAGATAACACGTGAATAATTTTGATCCAAGATTATTGTTCCAACATTCTAAAAATGTTTATGGCCCTGAAAAGGACCGATTAAATGTTTAATAATGTTTAATTTTTTTATGTACAGGATTACGGTAAATAAAATTTTTTAAATTACTCCATAGAAAATAATCGAATGGGTTTAAATCAAGTGATCTTGCGGGTCATGCGACGGGACCACCTCAGCCAATCCAAGAATTTGAAAAATTTTATTTACCGAAATCCTGTGGAAACACTAGAAGAGTTAAAAGAACAGTTTCATTGTGCAATAGCAACCGTTACACAGGAAATAATCCAACGTGCACAAGAAAATCTTATCCGCAGAGCAAATATATGTATACAAATGGAAAGACTGCATTTCGAGCATATGCTTTAAAACATTTAATCGGCCCTTTTCAGGGCCACAAACATTTTCAAAATGTTGGAACAATAATCTTGGATCAAAATTAT